CGTACGTGACCAAGATCCGTGGCTTTGATGTGGACGAAATGTGTGCAGCTACTATTTTGCTTGAAGGAACGAGTCACAGAAGGTGGCAGAGCAACAGAAATGTATCCAAAGTATTGCCAAACGCCATGAAGGAATGGTGGGGGGCGAAGAGAACGGCAAACGGGGCTACTTCTTCACGTACATCATCGCGTATCTACGCGACTTCGCTCTAGACTACTACTTTATGAGCGAATCCTTCGAGACCTCTGTTCCTTGGACGAATGCACGTCAACTTATCACCGACATCAAGTTGGCTATCAACTCTGTAGCCGCCAAGCGCGACGTCAAGATCCCACCGCTTATTGCGTGTCGTGTCTCTCAAGTGTACGACACAGGCGTCTGTGTGTACGTGTACTACGGTATTAACTATTTTGGCGTCAACGAACCCATGACACTCTTCCGTGAAACGGAACTTGCTGCTGTGGACGCCATCGTGCGTAATGGTGGCGCTCTGTCGCACCACCACGGAGTCGGCAAGCATCGTCTTGCCTGGCTGCCGGCAGCCATCTCACCTCCAGCCATCGCAGCTATACAAGGAATTAAGACGGCGCTCGACCCGAAAAACGTGTTTGCTGTGACCAATTTGCAACCTTTCAAGAACCAAGAAGGGGCTTAGATTGCCTCTGTTTTTTCATATGTCGATATAAAAAAATGCTAGAGAAACAATGTTTTAAACAATGTCATCGCCGACGTGTATACCGTTACCGGTAGTCCCAAGTGTGGATCTGCAGCGCTTAAAAACGGATTTTGCAATTGAATTTTGGAGTAAGTACGGTTCATTATCTCTACTGAATGTACAACATGGATGAAACGGCCATCCAGTTCGACATGCCGCCTGGGCAATTAAAGGGCGAAAAAGATCAGCTAAAGTCCAAAATCCGACAAAACACTGCGGACACATGACGGCTGTTTTGACAGTTCGCGCTGATGGTAAGCTGTTATGTTTTTTTTTCCTTGAGCTTATTTTAAGTTTTATATACACATATATTTTACTAAAAATGTTTGTTTTTATTAAAAAAAAAAACTTCCGAGTGGACTTATTGATTTTCTATATGTAAAAGTTAAGACCAGAATTTGTGCGTGGAGGGAAAATGCCGCGCTCGGGAGTTTTTAGGTAAAAAAAATTTTTAAAATTAGGAAATTGAATCTCCCCTGCCCCTCCTCTCTAACCGAAAAATTTTTTACTGCTCCCGTCTTTCACAGAGAGAGGTAATGTCTGTGGTTAAACCGCAAACAGACATGTCGCCTACAGTGGTTCCCCATTAACCGCTAAAGCTCACACTCGTTTTGTCTCGATTCGAGGTAAATTACTCACCCAAAAAAGCCTTACGGCTGCTGAAAAACGTCTTCGAGCCATAAAAGCTACATTGCAGCTTGGAAAGTTTTCCCAACGAGCACGTAATTCGTAGCTTTAAATCGGCAATTCCGTGCTATGAGTCGACAACGGTATAATAAACAAGCGTGGCTGAACTTTTATTCCATACTATCAGTTTATTCATCCAATCAAAATATGTTTTGCTAGTCGTCCGAGTTTTTGTGTCGCAGATTTTACCATCGGAATTGTGTTTATCAACTCCGGCTTTTTGTGTCGTTGTCTGTAGTACGGTCATGTACCGGTACTGTGTTTAGTAACGTCTATGTTGAATCGTAAGCAGGTGGTGTCTACGATTCCCACCTGCTTACGATTCAACATAGACGTTACTAAACACACGTTACTAAACACAGTACAGAAATCTGCCTGAATAAGGAACGCCTGATATAAATTAAGAAAGAGATTGCATAAGCTGACAATGCCTTGCTAAAAACAGACTATGATATCGGATCATGTGCATATATTTAATTAAGTTGGGATAAATTGAAGATTCGACTTTTGAATGAGACCAGAGTGATTCCAACAGTGCTGAATCGTGGAAGCGCTAGCTTTAGACAATGCAGCATCGCACCAGAGCAGTACAGCTAGCTGGTCGACGCTGTACGGGTTGCCGAGGCCCTTCGCCTAGGCGATCCACTCAGCTAGCTCATTATACGACGGATTACGTGAGCGAGCAGCCTTCTCGAGGATGGCTCAGGGGTTAATGGTAACTCCAAAATCGGTGAAGTTAATATTGTGAAAATATCACCTGTAGACCAGTTAATATAAAAAATATCACCTAATATTTTCTTCTGAGACAATATGATATTATTAAATATCAACTTAATATTAGTTAATACGATATTATATTTTTCAATGATTGCGTAATCGAGCTACATTAACCAATCAGATGTCGTTAACGCTCGACTAGCTGAAGTATTACTAATCAACCGTGAGTACCGGGACAATTGTGAGTGACGGCAAGGTTGGCGTTGTGTGTTGGCACTGCTGAGCGCATTAATCTAGCGCAACAGGCAGCAGGTTTATTAGACGCACGATGTCGACGAGGAGATCGGTAGAGAACAAGAAAAAATGTTTTGATTTCGCTCTATCAACGTTAAACAGCTGCAGTTTTCCATCTCGATCGCCTTTGTCTGTGTCACAGTGAAATACTAGAGCAAATACTCGTCAGTCTTAAAGCCTACTGCTTTTCTAGAACCTGATCGAAAAAGTTATTTGTCTCCGCTCGGTTCACAGAGGTAAGCTGGCAAGAAACGTACTTATAAAAGACAGCAACATCGCATATCATGTAGTATCTAATATTATACGTCTCCGAGCTGATA